GGGGAGGAGCCTGATAACTAAAAGATCTGCCTCCCATTCTACTTTTAGAAATTCTAGGAACCACTAGTAAACCTGCAGATTGAGATCGAAGTGCTCTGTTAGGAACATAAGGAACAATCAGATCTCTGATCTAAGATTTGCAAAAGTTGAAAAAAAACTCTTTTCTCTTACATAATCAGGCATATTTTTTATCATATAAAATCCCAGTTAAAAACATGGTAGTTTGTTGTTGCAATGTATAAAAAAAGAATAAATAAATAAAAAATATTTCAAACCGTGTGAACATTTATGAAGGGACTGCATTATGATTTAAAAAACCATTTCCATTTTAAACCATCTTTAATACATTCTGGTTTGAGTAAATCTACTATTCTTCATTTTTCCTTTTAAAATGTTGAGCCGGGGAGTAGCGCACCGATGCGGTATAGTAAAATGATTTACTCCCACTAGTCAAACAGGTGAACATGCGTTCGTGACTGGACACGTTCTCTGCACATGGAAACTGCTGCAGGTGATGATCTAATTAAATAGGGCAAAGGAAAACACTTTAACTGCCAGATCACTCTTGACATTTGTTTTGCTTTTTACCCCAGTAAGGAATGTTCTTCCCATGAAATATGGGTTTTAAAAGAGGGGAAAATGTGAGATAAGACCTACTTATGTCAGTTAAATCAAGTTCTGTGTAGGACAGACTTCAAATGAGAACTGAAAGGAGGGGCTTTGCCCTCAGTGGAAGGAGGAGGTTGGGTTAACAATGTGCGCAAGCATAAAACATCTGCAGAATGGAACGGTGACAAATGAACCTGTTTTCTTCAAATACTTCTGTGGAATTCAGACCAGAATCTCTGAGCTAGAGAGGAAATTAAGGCTCAGAGCCAATTCTCCTGTCACAACCAGCAGCCAGACATTAGCAAACAAATATAGAGAGTTCTCCTCACTTCCATATGAATAAAAAATATAAAACTGTCCTACTTTGTTAACCAGCTGAAAAGAAGAAATAGATTAAAAAAAAAAAAAAAAAAACATAGAACAATTCAACTGAACTTATTGGGCATTTTTTTATTGAACTTTATTAATCATTTTTTTATTGAACTTTATTAATCTCACACAGGAGAAACTCACCTCTGCATTTAACCCATCCCTTTGAGGAGCGATGGGCTGCCATTGTGCGGAGGTGAAGGGTCTTGCTCAGGGACCCAGAGTGCAGGGAGTGGGGATCAAACCGGGTACTTGCAAATTTCTCAGAGCACAAGCGCACTGCTCTAACCTCTAGGCCACCACACCCCATTTTCAATCATCATGGATAAGCTGATGAACTCAAATAGCACAGATACTGTTCAGTTGCCATAGAGATTATATGAGTAACATCCTTATGATGACCTTCTAGAAAAAAACATAAAACAACTTGAATTCCACTTATTAGCTAAAACACAAATCTGTGTAGATGCTTTTAAAATTTAAAGTTGGTGGGTGTTTAACTGATAATGAATCAACCCAAAAAGTTTGTTTAGTTTTGGAGATAATTTAAATTGCCCTTCTAAACATTCATATCATGTAAATAGAGGAAGAGAGCAGAATCGGCCCAAAGAATGACCCCAGAATCTGTATCAGCCTTAAAATAAAACCTTATATGTGGGTCTCTGGACACTAATAGTTCACTAGAAATAAAAGAAACAAAGCCCATCTATTATTATTTATGAACCAATTCCCTTACTTCTAAGAATAGGTTATCATGTTATTAATCAGGGGTTAGGGTCAGCTGGTGTCAGATTGGATTCTGGTTTCAGGACTGGTCACTCTGAGGTTATCAGGGAGACTTCAGCTTTTAAAAAAATGTTCATGAAAGATACTTGTTTGGCAAAAAGAAACAAAGAAAGATCAAAAGACACATAAAGACAAGGAGAGGTCATCCATGATAGATCATTGTGTCACAAGTGAAAGAGCATAAAGAGATAATAAAGAGCCAATAATAGCTCATTAGTTACTTAATTTACTCAAGTTGGCTAACATTTACATTTAGCTAACATTAAATGACTCGTGTGACTGGTGTGCTAGCATTATTTAAACTGCTATTAGCTAAAACATTAGCTAAAAATGACCAACATTAATTTCTATTTTGCTAAAAGTCCCTAATACACAGGTAGATTAAGCTAGTTTGCTATTTTAGCATGCTAGCTAGCATTAGCTACCAGTATTATGCTAAAGGGAAATGTTAATTTACTAAAGAGAGCTTATTAGGGAAAAATAACTTTGAATAATATTTACATTTCGGTTATCTTTCCAATTTTTAAAGGCCAACTTTGTCATTTCTAGAATATGTTGAATAATCGACTTGAACCACTTTATCTGATCAAACCATTGACGTCTCTATTTTTTCTAATGAAAAAAACGAAACACCTGTGAGATCTCCAATTATATCAAGGCATATATGCTATTGTTATTCAGTTATAACCACGTTATTGCCTTGAAATTCATTGTTGTGTTTCTAATTGCAGTTATAATTTGTTTATAAACCATGAAATAAGATGGTTTCCTTCCTGGCTAAATGAAACAAGCTGGGCCCATGATACACAAGATATGAGATTCAGTCTGAAACATTCTCCATCAAAGCCTTCGTAAATCTTTATGTAAATAATTACTTCTTACAGTTTGAGTATGGGGAAGTTTTTGTGGTATTTATTGGAAAGAGCAGACAGTTAAATACTGCGATACGGCATTCTGACACATTTTAGATGAGAGTTTTGGCCAAAATCAGCTGAACGAATCCCTCTTCTAACTGGCTGTAAGCCTAAGCTAGCCTAAAGATGCTTTTACAC